ATTTTATACCTCACACTACCTTCTACTTTCAGACTAAAGATGATGTGTAAAACTATTTTTCCCTCCTTATTTTTATGTTGCACTTTTTAAGGTGTTTACTGAAATTAGTTTAAAAGGAGGATGAAAATGCTGCTTCATATTCAGGCAGAAATCTCCGCTCACTGCAGTGTTAACATCATTCTTTTGTCAACTGATGTCAGGCAATGAAAAAAACCCTTACATCTGTTACATCTGCTAATGGATCCTCACCAGGGTGATGTAAGAGCAAGGATGGCTCCTTGTGGAGTGCCCAGGATGGAGGGAATATATGCCAAACAAAGCACAGATCCAGGACTTCAGGAGATCATGTAAGCCAGACTGCTGGGATTTTAACAATATTCCAAAAGAGAGAAAATAAATAAATACCTTAAAAACAATTTTTTGCTTTTCTGGATCTGGAGGGATTCTAAATAAGTCTTATTTTCCTAAGACTTAGGACTCCTGAAGCACAAAGGACCTCAGAAAAGGCTGAACTCTGTTGTTGTCAGAGGGTCCTCTTGTTTGACCCATGTGAGGTGTCACATTCTGCTCCCACTGAGGTCTCTGGAGTTTAGTCAATGACCTCAGTGAACACACGTGTAGGTTAACCTGAACCTGCAAGGTGCACAGGGTGACTAAGCTCCTGAACTGCTTCATTTTCCCTTCAGAGTCCTGTTTGTTGCCTCTATGCAGATGGAAGGAAACCCACCTCAACACACCAGCACCTGCACACAGCTGGGTGCACCAGCCTTTGTACAAAAGAAGCACCATCTTGGGACAAGAGGAAAACAGTAAAAGGCAAACACAGGTGACTTCTCATTGCACAAGGACAGAATTGGGCATACCTGGCTGTTGAGTTCACGCCATCTCTAGAGCTGTTAACCCCACTGGAATCCCCTCTACCTCTCTTAAAAAAAAAATATTCCAAGGCAAAGCAACATGAAGTGTTATGTCTTTTTAGCCCGATGCTTTATATTCCAACTAGAGCAATATGTAATCAATTGCACATTCTACTTTGCCAAGCACTCATCAGTCATTGCCACCCTGATCTATGAGTGTAGATACATCATGATTTGCCCATGGCATAAACTATTGCAGCCCTGGTCATCTACAGCAGAAAGAGAACTGAGTGCATGACAGCAGCAAATGCCAGTGTGAAACCTGAGGTGAGAGAAAAGCAACAGCACTTGAGAGAAGGACTTGCTATGTGTATATTTAATGGGGGCATTTTGGAAATACATATTTGCTAGTAACAGCTATTGGAGTGGGGTCAGACTCTAGCTCAGTGCTCCTCTGCACTAGTACCTCAGCCCACCAAAACAGACTTTTTAGGCTAGAGTTCTGCCAAATTTTTGTGATGGAACTGCTAACCAGCTGCAAGTTAAGAGGGTCGTCTGGTGGTCTTGGCAGATCTGCCATGGTTTGCAGTGGGACTGTATTTACAGGGAAGTGCCAGCTTGCATAAAACTGGCTGCACCTGTTACATCGAAAGGTGTTGCGGAGGTGATCGGCAAGGGAAGAATGCAGACAATCAATATGATTGATAAAGCAAAACTTCACTTTATTAGAGATGACAGGCACTTATATACTCTCTTCCCATATCTATGTGTCCAGAACTACACTTATGATTGGTCAATTGTACCAAAACCTGCCACGATCTAAACAGTGATTGATTCCTAGCCTTAAGCACGCACATGCTCAGTCAGAACTCTCCACCCCACTCCCTTCTTAGGCACATCTGGTTGTTTACTTTGTTGCTCACTTTTATCAGCTGGTTCCCATGAGAGAGTCCTTGGTCAGTGAGGCCCAGGTGTTTTCAGGAAAAGCTGGATTGCTCACATGTCCATTGTTTGCTAAAAAAACCCTCAACAAATCCCCCTTTTTCTTTTGAGCAATCCAGGCCCAATTCAAGGCGTTGTTGAATCACAGAGAATACATGATACAATTATCAATACTACAACAATAACCATCAATATTACCATTCCCTTTTATACTAATTCCAACCAACCACTTAGTTATCCCCAGTGACCACAGCCAGCCCAAGGTCGGATATAGTGGAGAATCCATGACGGTAATCTTCTTCATGTTCCCTTGCGAAGCCTGCAACTACTTATGAACAACAATTGAATGATTAGATAAATTCACACAACACACTCTGTTAGAATCTTCACAACTAAAGTTCTATGCTAGCAATAAAATCAATAACAGCGTGATCCTGTAAAACAACATTCATATTAGTTACTAAGGCACTCGATATTTCAAAAATCTCATTGGCCTTTTGCTACAAAGCATGTTAGTTTATGCATTTCTGTCAAAGCTTTTGCAGGTGCAAGCTGAAGCAAAACACTTCTTAACATTCCACAAATTTACTGCATCAACTCTCTGCTCAAAGACACACTGTCCTTGTGATGTTCAGCACTCAGCTTCATCCCACAATGCCTCTGTCGATCCATGGCCTTGTTCGGCTAACCAGCCCTCAACAATTCCCCCTTTTTTGTTTTGCACAAAAAAGGCACGGCTGGTTATTGAATCTGCTATGCGATATGTTTGATTTTGGATACAATGAAACAAGCATGGTAATAAAAGCAATAACATTATGAGTACTATACCAATGGTTATAAAATGTTGTAAAAGAGAGGTCATCCATGGGCCGAGCCATGACTTCAGCCAATCTATGAGTCCTAATCCAGAATTCTGTTGTAAGTTAGCGGTAAGCTGCTGTAGGGTGGCTAGCTGTTTGTGTATTGAAACGGAATGACCAGATAGGTTCATGCAACACATGCCTTCAAAATGTTCACAGCCATGTCCTTGTGCCAAAAGCAAAAAGTCAATGGCAGCTCTATTCTGTAGAGTTGCGTGTCTTACAGAGTCAACATCTAATAAAAGGTTAGATAGTGCCATAGAAGTGGCATTAGTTTGTTTTGCCAACCAACATCCCAATTTTTTTTACATGTGGCATGCGCCTTAGCAGCTGCTGCTCCGGGCACAAAGAAAGAGGTCGCGATTACTTCTTCTAAAGACCAAAGCCAGACATTGCTGTCACATCCCGGTGTGAAGGCATGTGCTGAGAGCTTTTGGCGATGATGCTGTCAGGTGGCCTGCAATATCATTGACGTATTTGGGGTTAACAGAGTGAGTCGTCTTAAGGTGCAGGGACCACCACGTAAATGAGATGGAATTCCAGGCCATGCACGATCACCACAAATAAGGAAAACTCCTTGGGGCAACCTTAGAGGAGAATTGGTTGAAAGTGACAACTTTGTTGCTGTATGATTACACCAAGAGGATGCGTTTCTATAGATGCTAAGAGAAGAATTTACGTTGACAGTATAATTGTTTGCTAAAAGCCCCACACTGTTATAATTAAAAGTTATACAAGCATCAGCCTTTACTGATCCAAGCAATTCAAGCTCTTGGGGTTCTAAATTGGCAAGCGGTAAATGGGGCACCTAATGGTCCCAGTTATCTACATTGTTCTGGAGCTCCATTAAGTTGCATGTGGGTATACCATTCAGACAGGGCCAATTATCTACAGGAATCCCTACAAGGCATGTAGAAAAAGGATTGCCTGGCAAGGACAATGATAGACAAATAGCATCTTGTCCCGTAAGGTTGGCCAATGTCACCCAAATATTTGTTTTTGGTTGGGCCGGTGCCCAGGCTCCAACGGCCACTAGCAACATGCTAAGGACTCCTCTACCACTATATTGTATTTCTGCAGGGCCCTCCCATAATCCTGTTTTCAGATTGTGATACATGACCAATACAGGTGTTGTACGAGGGGCAGCTTTAGCTCCCCTTCCATGTATGACTGCTGGGGAGTCGTCATGATTGCCCCTGACACAGAGAAAGTTTAATACAAAAAGAGCTTTAGTGAGTCACGTCTGAGCATCTGGTTCATCTGTAAACTTATTCAAATACATTTTTAAAGTCTGATTTGCTCTTTCCACAATAGCTTGCCCTGTCGGTGAGTGGGCTATCCCAGTCACATGTTGGATACCCCATTTCTGAAAAAACTTTTCTACTCTGTTACTACTATAAGCAGGGCCTTTATCAGTCTTGACCTGACGAGGTACCCCCATTACTGCAAAACAGCTGGTAAGGTGCCGAGTAACGTGCAAAGCTCGTTCACCGCCCTGTGCGGTAGCCCATATAAAACCACTAGAAGTATCAATTGTCACCTGGACGTATTTCAGTCTGCCAAACAAAGCGACATGTGTAACGTCCATCTGCCAAACGTCGTTGGGACTGTCTCCTCTTGGATTAACTCCCAAACCCAGGCCAGGTCCCTGTTGACTGCAGGTGGGACAGGACCACACTATTCCCTGAGCGTCCTCCAGCGTTATGCAAAAATGTTTATGCAGTCCTTTGGCATTTTGATGGAAGGTATCGTGGGCTAGGCGAGTTCATTGAAACTCAGCTATGGGCACTGCAACTGAGACCAGTTGATCAGATACTGCATTGCCTTGCCCTAGTCACTCTGCCCATTTGTGACTTTGAATATGCAATATGTTAGCAGTGAAGATCTCATCTTTACGGCTGTGCGAAGTCAGCACAGCAACTCAAACAGTCTCTTGTTTACAACTTCCTTGATAAGAGCATCCTCAATACCCTGTACAATTCCAGCCACGTATAATGAGTCTGTAACCACGTTTAACGGCTGATGTGGCCACTTTAATATAGCATGAACTACTGCACAAAGTTCCAGTGTTTGCAGAGAGTCATTTGGCTGACCAGGTAAAAGTTCATGAGCCCACTTATCATTGTTTCTCCATACCACCACAGCCTTTCTGGAGCGTTTTCCTGCATCAGTATAAACTGATATTGCATCTTGCAAGGGGCGTGCATGCACCTTAGGTTGCGAAATCCAGTCATGGGACCGCATCCAAGCTAAAATCAGTGACTTTAAACTGCGCACCTGTATTGATTGAGCTGCTTCCAAGAGACTGTTCTGTAAGTCTGGCGAGTGCTGCAGGTACCAATCAATATCCGATGTTTTCATGGCCAGGTAAATAATATTTGGCTCCTGCCCTTGTATTTTGCATACACCGCGTTCGGCCCTTTTTTATTAAGGCCGCTAGTGTGGCAATTTTACTTTGTATTGTGGTTTTAGGCTGTAACGAAACAAAGACCCATTCTAGCACTCGAAGCTCGTCTTTGTCACCCAAGTGGGTGATAGCACCAAGGAGGTGAGTTGGTCCCATAAGAATGGTTAGGTCCAAAGGAGCGTTAGGCAATCGTCGATGTACAGCACGCGCCGTGATGTGATCCGCGAAGTGCTGCAGATGTCGATGCTGCTGCTGAGACAGCATTACGGGCGCAGCTGGGTCAGTGCCTTTTAATAATGGTCTTAAGCATTCAAGTTCATCCTTGGTAATTCCAACTACTGGTCATAGCCAGTGCAGGTCTCCCATCAACCGTTGCACATCATGCAGGGTAGAGATGCATATGCAAAGCTGCAACTTCTGAGGCACAATAGTGGATTCTAATATTTGCCATCCCAGGTACTTCCATGGTGAAGAACATTGTACCTTCTCTGGGGCTATCACCAGTCCTTGTCGTGCCAATGCTGCGACCAGTTCCTGTTCTTGAACGACAGTAAATGGACTAGGCCGAGCAAACAAGATGTCATCCATATAACAATAAATTAACGTATCAGGCCAGGCCTCCCGCAGAGGCTGCAGGGCAGCGGCAACAAAGAGCTGGTACAACGTTGGAGAATTTCTCATGCCTTGTGGTAAGACAGTCCACTCATATCGTTGGGAAATAGCCTCTCTATTAATGGCTGGCAAGGTAAAGGCAAATCTCTGCATATCATTTAAGTGAAGGGCTATTGTAAAGAAGCAGTCCTTAAGGTCCACAATTAAAATTTGCCATTCAAGGGGAATCATGGCTGGGTTGGGTAGTCCCGGCTGCAATGCTCCCATGGGTTGCATTTGCGCATTAACTGCTCGCAAGTCGTGTAACAGTCTATATTTCCCTGATTTTTTTCTGTATCACAAATATTGGCGTATTCCATGGGCTCGTAGATGGTTTCAAATGTCCTTGAGCAAGTTGTTCTTGTACCAACAGGTGGGCCTGTTTGAGGCTTTCCTGCTTTAGCGGCCACTGCTCAACCCACACCAGGTCCTGTGTCAGCCACGTTAATTGGATTGGGAAAGCCCAGGCAGTAGCCACTAATAAAAAGACCTAGAGTCTGTTGTTAATGTGAGGCCCATCTGTGAAAGGACATCTCTGCCTATTAGAGCCTGTACTCCATCTGGGAGATTCATTACCATCACAAAGGCAGACGCAGAAATCCCGTCAATGGTAATAAGTACGGACCTACGGCTCTTCCGTACCTGGCCGGCACCACCCACGCCTTCCACTGATTCGGTGGACGTTTGTAAGGGCCAGTCATGGGGCCATCTCTGAGCAGAAACAATGGTAATATCCACGCCAGTGTCCAGTAGGGCCTGTAACTGTATCCGCCTGGCTCCTTGTTGGAGGGTAGCATGCACTAAGGGGCGCTGGTCCATTGTTAAGGTGAGTAGTGCCAGGCCTTCCGTTGACCCAAACCCGGCTGAGTCTCGTACAGGGCCTGCCGCCTCTTGTGCCAGCCGTGGTAGCGGTACTAATTGAGCAATGCGGCTCCCTGCCGGGATAAGCAAAGGGGGGAAGGATGTAGATGCCATAATCATTATCTCTCCTGCATAGTCCGCATCAATTACACCAGGCGCCACCGTCAGTCCTTTCATTGTAGCAGATGAGCATCCCAATAACAATGCTCCACAGTTCTGCCCAGCAATAAGTAAGGGGCCTTTGACACCAGTAGGAATCTTTACGATCTTGGTATCAGACAATAATACGCCTATTGTGGCTGCCAAGTCCAACCTGAGGCTCCCTCTGGTGGCGGGACGTGGAGCTGTGGTGGGGCAGAGCCCGATCCCGCCGCTGGGAACCCCTGGGGGCTCTATGAGCGGTTCGCAGTTGGGGTCCTGGCGCCGCGTCCCCTCGCGCTCCTTTTCCCGTTTCCCGGCTTGCGCCGGCACGCCATGGTGGAGTGACTGTTCAGCTTACAGTTCTCACACCAAACTTGAACTCGGCACTGCTTCCTGATATGGCCTTGTTGGCCACAGCGATAGCAGACTGTATTCGGGCTTTGTTTTGTTGTTGGTCGACCTCTGGGGCGTAAAAGCGCTAACGCTTGCCCGTCTTTTAAGGCTAGGGTTAGGTCCTTAATTGCTTCCACTAACCTGGCCTGTGTCCCTGATGGTACTCTGCTCATTCTTTCTAACATTTCCTCTACCCCAGCATTAGCAGGGAGGGTGACTAGAATGTCTTTTGTTCGGGGATTGCAGTTTTGAATTAGACACTCCTTTAACAATGCTCTGTGCACATAGGGTGGCACCCCAGCACGATCTATTGCAGCCGTTATTTTATCCACAAAAGATGAAAACGATTCTTGCAACCCTTGTTTGATGCTCATATAAGACGGCTGATTGGGCCTATCAGTCCTCACTCGACTCAGAGCCAGTCGGGCTAGGCGCATAGCTTCCTTAATTACATCAGCACCTAGCATGGCCTGCCTTTCAGGGGTTGAAAACTGCCCTACTCCCATTAGTTGTTCCAGAATGACACCGTATAGGGGGTCCCCCTGAACCCGCTGTACATAAACAGATTCCTGGCAGACAGCCTGCCAGTGCGCTTGCCACAAAAAGCTCTGAGATGGAGTCATAATCATTTTAAAAATATTTTTTATGTCTTCTTGCAGCAGTAGCCCACTTCCCCAGATATAATTCAACACTAGCTTAGTCGGCTCTCCATGCAAGCCTGATTCGTTCACGGTCTTTCTCAGCAGCATCAACAAATTCCAATCTAAGGGGATAATATGTGCTACCTGATTACCCTGCCCATCCGGCACATATGGAACCGGAAATGTCTTAAGCATCTGACTTTCCTCCTGTCTTTCTTGCAATAACGCAACCACTTCCCAGTCCCCTGCCTGTAAAGCCTCACCCATAACTGATAGCCAGTCAATTCTGCCCTTAACTGGCAAATGAGGCTGAGGTGACCCCTTGCCAGACATGCCGTTATTGTTAGAATGATACCTGGCCGCCTCTTCCTCTAACTCTGCCGCAGGGCATGCGGGCAAGCCCTCCTCATTGTCCCCAGACCGCGGGGGCGCCAAGGGTGGAGCAGCAACCTGAGGTGAGGGTGCCGAGGGCACCACGCCGCCCCTAGGCGGAACAGGGACGTACGTAAAAACGGGGGCTTGGGGGAGATTATCCCCTCCAAGAGTAATCTTTCCCGCATCCAGCGAGGGTGAGGTGCCTGTGTTATTAGTCTTACCCTCTAAATGCAAGGCAGCCAATGCAGCAATATCCTTTTCGGCCTGATACTGGTGCAAGCAATTCATAATTGCTCGGCAATGGCAGGACATTTTCTTTGCTGTTTTATCCTTATCTGATACCAACAACCACAAGGCGTCCCCCATCTTACGCCATGCCTTGATTTGGAAAGCTTCCTCCGGGTCTTAAAAAAACCCTTTAGACTCTGCGTATGCTAACAGCTCCTGTAATTCCTTTTTTAAATCTAAACCCTCAGGTTTTTACTTTTCTAAAAAGCACTTAAACAAATCATATGCTACCTGTCCTTCCATTCTGTTAGTCCTCTTATCTTAGGGCACCCACACCATTTGCCCTTATTGCGCGTGTGCAGACTTTATCCCAGTAGCATATCGGGCAGCGGACGCTCCTCTGTAGGGTCGGTCCAGGCGTGGAGCAGAACTACGATGCCAGCATCTTCTGCCCTAAGCCCCCGGGCGCTGCTTCCTGGTGCTGTCCCGCTTGCTTACCTCCGCCTCGGATCTTTAGGTCCCCGTTCGGATCTTTGGGCCCTTGTTCAGATCTTTGGGCCCTCGTTCAGATCTTTGGGCCCTCGTTCAGATCTTTGGGTCACCATTCGGATCTTTGGGTCCTCTTTCGGATCTTTGGGTCCCTCCTCAGATCTTCATGTCCCTGTTCGGGCGCATTTGTTGCGGAGGCGATCGGCAAGGGAAGAATGCAGACAATCAATATGATTGATAAAGCAAAACTTCACTTTATTAGAGATGACAGGCACTTATATACTCTCTTCCCGTATCTATGTGTCCAGAACTACACTTATGATTGGTCAATTGTACCAAAACCTGCCACGATCTAAACAGTGATTGATTCCTAGCCTTAAGCACGCACATGCTCAGTCAGAACTCTCCACCCCACTCCCTTCTTAGGCACATCTGGTTGTTTACTTTGTTGCTCACTTTTATCAGCTGGTTCCCATGAGAGAGTCCTTGGTCAGTGAGGCCCAGGTGTTTTCAGGAAAAGCTGGATTGCTCACATGTCCATTGTTTGCTAAAAAACCCCTCAACAGAAAGGCACCTTTACATTCTTTTAACTTCTCCCTTTGGAGTTAGTAAGAGAGAAGAAGCAAGACTGGCAAGAATTATCTAAGCTATGAGTTATATGTAAAGCCATGCAGTTCAAAAATCCCCTGCACACCCCTCTGGTAGGTTTATGTGCACTCTTGGAGACACAGGTATGAGACATCTGCTGTAACTGAGCACAATAGGAAGGCAGGAAGCCTAGGGAAGGGCTTTGTCGTCTGAAGAAGATAAAAATAATTTAAATAATGGCATCTCATAAGCACTGGTACCACGGCCCTAAGCAGATGCCTGTTAAGATGTGAACAAGTACTTACAAAGGTATGAAATGTGTAATACAACAGACATCTAGATAATCCATATCTGCATAATACAACACCTCTACCACTCCTTTACCTCTGATTATGTCATTTGAATCTTCAGGGCTGAGAAATCTGGAACTCCTGAAGTCAGAATGTATGCAGGAGCAAGAATGTCCCAGGGCCGTGTGGAAACACACCTGAAAATAGGAACAAGACAATCATGTCTTAGAATAATACTGACCTGTATTTGAAGAAAATTAAACAAAAATGGATAGTAAAAAAAGAAACAGGTGATTTAAAAATAGAGACACAGATGGACAGCAGTGTGAACAGATGTACTATCAAAGAAAAGAGAGACCCTGGAACTTAACATTTTAAGAAGGTGGAGGAGCTTTCTGTTCCCATGAAGCAGTAAGTAAGAGGGGAAGTGGTTACAGAGCTACACTGGTCACAGAGTTACACTGCTCCTACTTTCCAGCAAGGGAAAATCCTCCAGGAAGTGGTAGGTTTCTGCTTGCCATCTGCAGAGCCAACGTTGTGCAACTTTGCATCCTTGCCTGGAAGTGCAGGGCTCATAAAGGGGCTATCAAGGGCCTCAGCCCTGGCTGGACCTCATCCTAGTTTCTTCCAACCACATCCAGTGGAAAAGCTACCCAGAAAAAGCACATGAATAACAACGTCTACTACAGCAGGATTTAATATAAGAGGAAAGACCAAAAAGGAAGGAAAACATTAATCATTATGTGGGCAACATAGAGGCAAAACTGAAATCACCTAGAGCAACTTAAAACTCCTAGAACTAAAGAGTTAGAGATAGTGTTTTCTTTTAATTTTCAAAGTCTAAAATGTCTCATGATGTCCCTATTTGCATGAGAAAACTTAGGTTCAAGGAGATGTTTGGGACAAATAAAAAGAGATCCTAAAACCTGCATGTTCCTTAAAAGGCAGTGCTGGAAGTTGTTGCACCGAGTTTGAATTGATTCACAAAGAATTTAAAGTACACCCAAAAAGTTTCTAAATGGAAATCCACAGAAATAAGGGGGAGGAAAGGAGGAGTTTGCTCCCTGTTGCACTGACTTCACTGGTTAGGTTTTTTTTAAGAATTCTGTAAGGCTTCTAAATCTAAATTTTTAAAAAATTGTGGAAGCTTTGAAATTTAAGCCAGAAGAACAGAAAACAGCAGGTGGGTTTTCTCCACCTTCCCAGTTAGTATTTGATAATTGGCTACAAGAGCTCTTATTTGAACAGAATCCAGAGAATCTCAAGTGCTTCAGGTACCTGCTGGTAAAAGCACTACTGTTATGCAACTTACAACTGGCAATTTCCCCATGCCAACCCCAAATTATTTTTAACAGTCCTTTGGCACAGGATGTGGCTGCTGTGTCATTATCTATCATTATTTATCATTAAATAAATGGCTTTGCTATCCTTCTGATCACCACCATCCTTCAAAGAAGCATCAGCAAGGGGAGAAGGATGGGAGAGGGAGCTGGCCAGGCCCTGATCTTTCTGAAGAAGAGGGAGAAAAGGACCAGATAAAAATCTGAGGGACAGGTGGGAAAAACAGGTTTTGTCTCTCTGCTAGACTGTTCCCCATCCCCTTCTGTAGCCCCGAACACTTTGGGCAGGAAAGGGCCATGCCCAGCACCCCTGACAGACACACTTCACTGCCCAGCAGGCAGGTTTTCTTCATGTAAAAAACACCTACCACGAGGCAGGGAGACCTGGGGAGAGGTGAAACACTAAGCAGGCTGAACTCTCCCCTGCTTTTAAAAATCAACTTCAACACGCAGGAAAGAAGATCTCCAGCCTCTCACAAGGACATTTCACCAGCTAAACCATAAATGTACTCAACCAAGTCAGTCTTTGAAACTTTTCATTTAGCTCTATGAAGATAAACAGTAGATCAGCATTTTCATTAAACAGAAATGTCATGGCTCATTCCTTTCTGTGATGGAAGAGGCTGCAGCAGCATCTTTCAAAACTCAGGAGAGAAACATACGCTCGCAATAAAAAATAAATAAAAAAATGATAGTTGCTGCATTAAAATGTTTCAGTCTGTGATTATAATTACTTCCTGATTGGGAATAATTCTTATGCTAAGAACCCTATGCAATAATAGCTAAGGTGGATCAAACAGGAAAGGGTGAGGCTTGGGGTTGATTCCCCAGACAAGGTGCAGGGAAGGAAACTTCACTGCTCTTCATGTGCCCTTTTTTAATGGGAATACTTCTCTGCGCTCTCTCTCTCTCTCCAGCCCATAATATGCAACCAAGATCTGGAATAAAGGTCTGTAAGTGGCTTAAGTTACAGCAGATTTTGATTGAGGCAGGTCAGGAAGTCCTTACACAGGCAGCCGTGGAGGAGGAACAGTCTCTGACAGGACTGGTCGAGGTGGGGGACTCCAAAAGTAGGTCCCTCCCTTCAGTGTCAGCCACAACCCGACTGGGATGTACCAGGCATAGTCCATGAAGAAAACCACCACCATGAAACAGGAGGGCAGACAGACCCTGCAGGCTATTTTGTAGGGCAACAACCTGTGATTAAAGGCTGCTAAGAGGGACCAAGGAGCAAAAACAGTACAGAGCAAAGAAAATCGTGTGCTTTTCGACGTCTCCCTCCACTGCAGGTCTTTTGAGATTAGAACTTTTCACTGGAAAGCTTCAGGGAAGGATTTGAAGGGGTGAAGGAGAAAATTAAGGAGGAGGAAGGAGAGCCTCAAGAAGAGGCAGCTGACCTTCCCAACATTATGAGCAGAGCACCTAGTTCTTACCATGACCCAAAGCTGTAGGAAATACTCAGCATTAAAAGCAGGAGACAGAGCAGCTCTTTCCTACAGGCAGCACACAACAACTCCTCCAGGGTCCACAGCAAGATGACATTGATGGGGATGTAGACAAGCCCCAGACAAACTTACATAGGCTGTAGAATGGAGTCAAACACCTCGAGCCACCAGGGAAGCTGCACAGGAGCCTCTGCTCGTGTGGCATGTCACATCAGCAGTCAGAAGAGACTGAGAGGGGACAGAAATGGCAGGTTTGGCTTTAGGTCCCTGGGAGATGGAGAAGCAATAGAGATGGGGCAGGTATTCAACCAGTGACTGGACATAAACTGTCCACATGGTAAATCCACCTGTCAGAAAGTAGGACTCCAGGGAATGTGTGAAACCTCTCAACTGTGTATCAGTGACTGCAGGCTCAGTCTGCTCAGCTGCTTGCCAAAGGCCCTCCTGTTCCTCTTCCTGAGCAGAAGCACAACAGACATGGATTACTGGACATGCACTGCTGAGCAACCTCAAGCCAAAAGGAAGCTTCTCAAGTCCACACTTTTTCCCTTTTCACTGAAGGCTTCTTGCCCACTTGGCACATCAGCTCCAGTGGAGCACAGAAAACACTGGCAATCTTCACAGAGCATCTTCCTGCTAGAATCCCAGCCCAAATTTGCAAACCAAAGTGAGGATCTGAAAGAGTTTGGGATGTTTATACAGGATTGTCCTCCAGCTCTTTAGTTCCATAATGTAATACACCAGCAATTGAACATGGAACAAACATGGAACTGTACATAAAAAAACATACACAGTGCCACTCAAAAAACCCAAACATCCAGCAAACCTATGACAAGGAACTGGAAATCTTTGGCATTTATCACAACGACTTCCTATGTGTTAACTTTCAAACAGTAATGATTTTCTTTTATCTTAAATACAGGAACAATGAAGTAAAACAATGTCAAGTCAGATACGAAACCCTAAGTCACTTCAAACAATGGAGA